GACCCAAAAAGAACCCATGGTATACACATACAACAAATGAAAGCCAAAGAAAAGTCATAACTTGCAGTATCTGTAGTTGCTCCAGGTTAATGTATTGGGGAGTAATACCAGCAAAGCCTGAGCCTGACAGCCAGGCCACTAGCATTTTCAGAGGACATGGTCCACGACAGTAGCCTACATGCATCTCCCATGACAGGTTTCTTTTACAACAACTTGCAATATCCTGCTTTTATTTACAGTAGCACATTAGAAAGACAAAGCTGAACTACAGTCTAGTATGGTAGTATAGTTATAGTGTACCTGCCATCAGAGGCTCTGTTGGAGAGATCCTTCACTTGTCTGGAAAAAAAAAAAAAGGTTGTCTCCAGCAGGGCCGGATTAACTCTAGGGGCGGGTGGAGCTGCCGCACCAGGCCCGCACCTGTAAATTGGCCCAGCTGACCCGGATTGCCTCAGTATCCGGGTCGGTGGCTGGCTGCGATCAGGCAGCGCCGTAACGGCGGCCCTCTATTCAGTCATTTTAGAGTGACGCTCGCTCCTCACTAGGGCCCCAAGAGGCCCCAGAGAGCTGCCCTCTAACATGCCTGAATAGAGGGCCGCAGTCAGTGACCGGTCGCAACAAGGCACCGGAAGCCCTCCATAATAGAGGCCCGCCGCTCTCTAACAGGCAAATGTTTGGTAGGGAAATACTAAAACCAGCTTTTTTTTTGTTATCAGTTTCCCAGTTGCAGATTTTTCACTTCCTCTCTGATAAAACTTTGACCCCAGAACAGGAAGTGCGGGGGAAGTCTTTCTAACAGGGCCCCAAATAGCAGTAAAACCCAACAGGGAGTTCTAAACTTTTCCTATTCAATCCAAAACCGTGATAAAATGTTTTTTTGGCATAGATACAATTTAAAGAGAACCCTTACCCAAATCTGTAGCTTCACCCTCTTGTCATTTCGGTACACGGTCTTCACCTTGAAGTCAATTCCCACTGTGCTAACAAAGGCAGATGTGAAAGTATCATCGGCATACCGGAAGAGAAAGGAGGTCTTCCCCACGCTGCTGTTCCCAATGATCAGAAGTTTGAACATGTAGTCAAAGTTTTGGTCCGTCACATCCTTATGTCCGAATCTTGCGTCTGTGGCTGAGGCCATCTGCAACACAAAGTCAGAAATCACTGTAAAAACTAAGAATCCCGCATGAAAAGCAACGACTACAGAAGACGCAAGATGGGATGAGAGGTGAGGTTTAACAGGGAGGGCTAAAGAAAGTTAGTGGAGCATGCCAAGACATTCCTCACGTAGGGTGCAGATCTCCACACAGGAGTGAGAGGAATGCACTGCACAGCCCAGCTACAGCTAAACAAAGACGGAGGAACTCCTATTATTCCTCCATGTCAATGGCATATTGAAGTGAAGAGCACTCATTCCACTAAGCCGTATATAAAAGTATTGTTACTGCAACATTTGAAACCATTTGACATTTATGTTTGAGAAGTGATCGTTACTAACTTGGTATTGGTAAAGTGTATCTAAAACCAAGAACAAAAACTAAAGTAATAATAAAGTCCCAAATTTTTTTAAAGTAATGAATTGAGAACAAATATACATTACCCAGCAAAAGTATTTCTGCGCATTTCCGCCCAAATGGTTACAGTCATCAAAACAGCTCATACTCTCTGATTGGCTTCCCTGAACTTCATGTTCAGTACAAGATCACCAGCAACTGTTCATCTAGTAGCACGGAGAAGGGAGGAGGAGAGGTGAGCTGGGAGAAGAGGAGTAGCTTGCCTGCGGTGCCTGTGTAATTGTGGATTGTGTAGAGATGTCACCAGCACACCAAAATCCTTCTTAGGATAAGCAAATGTTCATTCATTGAAGTTCCTTGTCATATAAACAAGCACTTTCTGGGCCACAGGCCCCGAAAGACCCTGTGTGGCCCCGAAAGCGCTTGTTTATATGACAAAGGAACTTCAATAAATGAACATTTGCTTATCTTAAGAAGGATTTTGGTGTGCTGGTGACATCTCTACACAATTGCTTATATTTGCGGCGCCATCTACAGTCACTGCGAGCACTATACTGTGTACCCTGGCAGGCTCTGCTACCTGTATGTTAAAGGGCTAGTCCATTCAGAACTGAGATTTCAGTTCGGCTGAATCACCGATTGTCAGTTTATATTTTGCTAGGATATCAGCAGTGAGAACCCTCCCACTGAAGCACCCAGCTCTGTCCTCCGACTAGGAAGATGCATTTCCTCCTACATAATAGTCATAATGCTCCTTCTGTAAAATGAACAGTAAAGCTGGCCATATACAGATTGAATTTTGGCTGTTGCGCGCTAGCATTACTCGGCTTGTCAGTTTTTTTTTCCTCCATGCCATAGTATGAAAGTCTTGTCTCCTCATCTTAGAGATGATTTATAAATCAACCTCCCAGCCATACGCTGGGTAATTGTCGTTGCCGTGTGAGGAGTTCAAAAGGAGTTGGGTTGACAATTTTAGGCAAAAAAGTAACTGCAGATAAATCAGTTGCAGTCACTGTTTGGTGATCAGGACAGCCATGTGCACAGACTGTCAGAATACAATAGCCAGTAGGGCTATTGTAGGACTAGAATGTATCCATGGAATTCATAGTCATGGACACTCATTAGAAGTCGGTCTCCTGTCTGTGCAATTTTCAAGAGAGATTCATGTAATTGTTGGTAAGGTGTAAATTAATCTGTTGCAGAATTGGCTTAGACAGAATGTTGTCTGCTAAACAATACTAAGGCCTTGTTCACACCAAATGCAGAGCAGATCTGCATGAGTTTCTGCACACGCAGTGCAGTGGGTTGTGCCGCGTTTTTGATGCGTTCCAGGACGTTTTTGGTTTAAAAAAATTAAGTTTAAAATGGGCTTTCAGTGCGTTCCAGGCGTTTTTGATGCGTTTGCATGCGTTCCAGAGCAGGTAAAATAGGGCCCGCTGCAGTTTTTTTACCTGCTCTGGAACTGCACGCTGTGATGTGAACTGGAGCTAAAAATACTATTGGAATACATTGGATGCAGTTTTGCTCCGGTCTGTAACTGCTCTGCACCTGCTACGCGTTTGGTGTGAACAAGGCCTAACACATACGTCACAATTTACTCCAACATGGAGGCCACATTTACCTCCACTTTTCTTTACACCAAAATGGCGGTAACAGCTAATAAATTAAATGGCAGCCATAGAGCTAGAACGTGATAGTTTTGCATATAAGAATTATCTGAATTTGTTGCACACGGTGGGAATAGCAGAAGTGTTGCATGGCTTTCACGAATTTGGTGCAGGCCTTTCTAACACAGTCTATCGCCAGCAAAGTCTTGCATGTGCTTTATTGAATAACCCCCTATGTGATCCATCACATTAAAAATTAAAATCAACACACCTCTGTCCATTTCACAGCATCGTTGTTTCTGGGAGTGGAAGAGTTAACGTGATATACGCAGGGTCAAAGGAGCAATTGTGCTGCCATTTAATAAAAACAGCAGATTCATTAATGAGCTTCGTTAGCTCATGATTACTCATCTACGGATATTCATGAGCTCCATGGAGCTTCCAGCCCTAATCAACATCTAATTTCTATGATTTGATGAAGGTGTAATTTAACCCTCTCCCCACAGCGGATGTAATGCATACAGAATATTATATGGTTGGAATATTTCCGTAAGAAAGATTTGAAGTCACGTAAGCCACTATTGGGACCCAGTAAATGACCAAAACTGTGGGAAAAGCCCATGAGCTAAATGAGGCTTTGAATGCTGCACCACCTACATTAACAGAAAAAGGTAGACCTGTGTTAAGCTGGCCATACACCTATAGATTATCTGCAGATTTGCTATGGTCAGATGGAAAAAGTGCAACAGATTCCTCCACCTACGCTAAACTGTGTGGCTGGAGGAATCTCCCGCTGGACAAAGCTCCAGGATATTGCTAGTCGGCCCCGGCGGCTCTCAAAATACCTGAACAATGCCTGCATCCAATCAGACTGTTCAAGTGGCTTGACAGCCAGCGGGGCCGACTAGCAAGTTACTGAAGCTTGGCCGAGTGCAGTGGGAGATTCCTCCAGCCACACAGTTTAGCGTAGATGGAGGAATCTGTTGCACTTTTTCCATCTGACCATAGAATATCTGCAGATAATCTATAGGCATATGGCCAGCTTTAGGAAGGTCCTGCTGGACTCACAGATGCATGAGCCAATACAGGCCCCGACCTCAGCCTACCTTTCAAGTAGAAGAAGTAGGCACAAGAAGCTGGAAACAATCATTTGGCACGTAAAAGAAAATGTTCTAGTTAGTTAGGTCAAGGCTGGACAAATCCCTGGAGCCAGTTACCCTATGTTCCTTAAAAGTCACTGCTGGCGCATTACTTTTGAAGTTTTCTCTAGATGATGCCAGTGGAGCTGCCTCCTGGATTGGACAGGCTGGTTCCTGAATTCTATATTCATTTGTCCACCCGAGTTAAGCTCAGATTGACCTGGTTCATCTGTTCTCCACAAAGCAGAGGCCTTCCCAGTAAAAAAGGATTAACCAGCCTGGGAAATTCACATGACGTTATAAACCAGAAGGAGCACACAGTTCTGGGCTCTTGACATATGTTGTTGCTGCTACTGGTTTAACTTCATGTGGATTTCTCAGGCTACCTTTGACTTTGAACTTGCTTGCTGATTCCGCCATTTCATTCTCTGTGTTACCAACCTCAGCGTGTATTCTGCACTACATCCTCACCTGCTGTCTTTGTGCTGTCTCTGCCGACCATGGTGTGAATTAAGACCTCACCTGTCTGGTTAATTGTGCTCCGACTCAGTGCTGCCTCTGACCTGTGCTACCCCTGGTTTCGGTACCTACGATCTAAAAAGATCATGGGATCAAGACATCCCTGCACTGACAGGCCACCAGCCTCTGCTGGTTCATTTATTCTACACTCATGCCACATCACTGCTCAAGAGTGTTGGGCTGGAGGTGCAAGGGAGGCCTCCCTCATCAGCTCAGTGTCCAACAGGAACGTGGCAGCCAGTCACAATATTACTTTGTAGTGGTTGAATCCTGCATAAGGAAGAGAGTGTAAATCTACTCTAGATACTTCCTTCTTCCTGTCGTTTTCTGTAGCACCCTCTCTTTCTTCCCAGCAACTTCTGAGAACACTAGTGCCATTCACACCTAATTCCCCCGACAAATGGTGGTTCTGCCCGAGCATAGTTCCTGACCATTGACTGTGTCTATGTGTTCCTTCAGCAATGCTAGTGGGAGTGGCCATAAAACAACTGGAATGCATTAGAATGCTTTTACTAGCGGGATAAGTAGGAAAGTGGCAAGCGACTGCTATGTAAAAAAAGACGGTAAGTTTAGGGGGGAGTTTAAGTTTAAAAAAAAATAAAAGACTGCGATTACCGAGCTCTCCTCCCAAAAATGCTTGTTGCCTTGCTGTCATATTAACCCTCTTACCTCAATATTTTAAGTCACTGACCCAGAACATATGGCAGATAAGGACTCTTTGTGATCTCTTCACTGATCCATATATCTTTTCCAGACAACAAGCATTTACAGCAGCAAGTGAGCAATGTTAATCCCCGTATTACAATAGGTTTACTTCAATGGAAACAAATTTTTGATAAGGCGCAGAAATTTAACTTAGAATGCAGATCTTGTAACTGCAAAATCAGTTTGCAAAATAAGTGACAGCTGCCGTCAATGGTGGCATAGCACTCCCAAAACAAATAAGCAGAGTAAGGCCTTGTTCACACCAAGCACCTTCTAGGAGCAGAGCAGTTACAGACCGGAGCAAAACGCATTCAATGTATTCCAATAGTATTTTTAGCTCCAGTTCACATGGCAGCTTTCCGTTCAAGAGCAGGTCCAGAGCAGGTTAAAAAAAACTGCAGCAGGCCCTATTTTACCTGCTCTGGACCACATGCAAACGCATCAAAAACACATGCAAACACCCTGGAACGCACTGAAAGCCCATTTTAAACTTTTTTTTCCTCAAAACAGCCCGGAACGCATCAAAAACGCAGCAAAACCCACTGCATTGCGTGTGCAGAAACTCATGCAGATTTGCTCTGCATTTAGTGTGAACAAGGCCTTAGTCCTTATAGACGGTGTCAAAAATGTCCAAATCGCAGTGCTGTAGAGCTATGA